ATTCCATGCAATCACTACCCTCTCAGTAAAGTAATATTTCCTGATATTATTTTTAAACTTTTGCCCCTCTTGTTGTGGTAGTTTTTCTTCTTTTAAATATAGTTTCCTCCTTTACTGTGTTGATTCCCTTTATGCATTTAAATGTTTCTATCATATCCCCCCATCTCATCTTTCCTCCAAGCTATACATGTTAAGTTCATTTAACCTTTCCTAGTAAGTTTTATCCTGCAATCCATGAACCAGTTTAGTAGCCCTTCTCTGAACTCTCTCTAAAATATCAATATCCTTCTGGAGATACGGTCTTCAGTGCTGAGTACAATACTCCAAGTGAGGTCTCACCAGTGTTCTGTACAATGGCATGAGCACTTCCCTCTTTTTACTGCTAATACCTCTCCCTATACAACCAAGCATTCTGCTAGCATTTCCTGCTGCTCTATTACATTGTCTGCCTAACTTCATCTGAAGGAAATAATTACCCCTAAATCCCTTTGCTCGGATGTTGAGGTTGGGACTCTATCAAATATTCTGTACTCTTCCCTTGGGTTTTTACGTCCAAGATGCATTATCTTGCACTGATCCACATTAAATGTCAGTTGCCACAACTTTGACCATTTTTCTAGTTTACCTAAATCATTTGCCATTTGGCTTACCCCTCCTGGAACATCAACCCTGTTACATATCTTAGTATCATCAGCAAAAAGACATACCTTACCATCAAGACCTTCTGCAATATCACTAATATAAATATTATTGGGCCCAAGTACAGATCCCTCAGGTACCCCACTGGTGACAAGAACATGCTTTGAATACACTCCATTGACTACAACCCTCTGGTACCAGTCACTCTGCCAGTCACTCTGCCACTACCTTACCCATTCAACAATATTAGAATCAAAAATTAAAGATTGCAGTTTGATAAGCCTTCTATGTGCAACAGTGTCAAAAGTCCTACTGAAGCCTTGGTAAGTATGTCTACTGCACCACCCTGATCTATTATTTTAGTTACCCTATCAAAAAAATTGATAAGTTTAGTTTGGCATGATCTCCCTGAAGTAAACCTATGCTGTCTCTGATCTTAAAATCCATGTAATTTTAGATGGTCAGCAATCCTAGAGCAAAAAACGGGGCACAAGAGAATACTGAGAACAGGCAGCAGCTGAAATAGCCTGCCCTTCATTGGGTCCCTGCTCAGTTTTCAGACAGGTCCCACCCATACGGGCAGTCCAGATCCGAAATGCCAGCAAGTTCCCTCTGCACAAGAGACACAGCAACCCCAGACGATCATTTCAGCCTTGTTAGGTATCATCAGTGAGGTATAGCTGATATCTCTCTAGGCACCGTGAGCAAGGGGTCCACATCTGGATTACCCTTTAAATTTATGGAGAGCAAAAAACGGGGCGCAAGAGAATACTGAGAACAGGCACTAGCTGAAATAGCCTGCCCTTCGGTGGGTCCCCGCTCAGTTCTCACGCTGGTTTTAGCTCATCTTGTGCCATTACAGAGGGAACATCTCTGAAACATATCAGACTGGTCCCACCCATACGGGCAGTCCAGATCCGAAATGCCAGTAAGTTCCCTCTGCACGAGAGACACAGCAACCCCAGACGATCGTTTCAGCCTTGTTAGACATCATCAGTGAGGCATAGCTGATATCTCTCTAGGCACTGTGAGCAAGGGGTCCACTTCTGGATTACCCTTTAAACTTATGGAGAGCAAAAAATGGGGCGCAGGAGAATACTGAGAACAGGCTGCAGCTGAAATAGCCTGCCCTTCGGTGGGTCCCCGCTCAGTTCTCAAGCTGGTTTTAGCTCATCTTGTGCCATTACAGAGGGAACATCTCTGAAACATATCAGACTGGTCCCACCCATACGGGCAGTCCAGATCCAAAATGCCAGCAAGTTCCCTCTGCACGAGAGACACAGCAACCCCAGACGATCATTTTATTTTAGATGTTCAACAATCCTATCCTTTAACATGGTTTCCATTACTTTCCCCACTACTGAAGTAAGGCTTACTGGCCTATAGTTGCCCGACTCCTCCCTACTATCATTCTTGTGATTGGGCACAACATTCACTAACTTCCAATCTTCTGGGACTATGCCTGTTAACAATGATTGGTTAAATAAATCTGTAAATGGTTTTGCTAGTACACAACTAAGCTCTTTTAATAACTTTGGGTGTATACCATCAGGCACCATTGACTTATTTAAATGTGATGTGTGTTACAGACAGGCGCTTATAAAATATCAAGAGATGTAAGGTTACTATAGCAGCTACAACACTTATAAGTGGATCTTTCCAATCAACCACTAGTACAATGTGATAAAAATAGGGAATTTAGAAGGAAGGTTAGTGAAAATACCAACCACCTAAACAAAAACAAAAGTGGAGCGCTAAAATAATAGGTAAGCACTTTACCACCTGACATCTGTATATATTTACATATTAATTTGTATTGATGAAATACTACACTAGAAAGGAACTTCTTCCTGTTTTTATGTGTTTCCCTGCTGAGCAATAGAGGAGGAGTCTGAAAGAAGGGGGGTGTCTCCTGAAGGACACCAAAGCGAAAAAGATTTGAGCCAGTCCATTCCTTGGCTCTACACTTGTAAGTTGATAATACTACTATTCTTATCAACCAGATTCCTAACCTAATATACTCCACCATTGGATTATCTTTTTTCCTCACAACGAAATACCCCTAATATTAGGGGTGAGTATATACTATTATTTTAGCGCTCCACTTTTGTTTTTTTTTAGGTGGTTGGTATTTTCACTAACCTTCCTTCTAAATTACCTATCTTTATCCCATTGACTTATTTGTCATTACTTTTGACAGTTGAAATATAACCTTTTCCTCTGTAAACTCACATTACTCATTTGTCCTTTTTCCTAACTGAGGTCCATTTCTTTAATTTTCATCTGTAAATACAAAAATATTCTCACCTTTAACAGAGCCTTAAAATCATGGTTCTCAGGTGGGAAGGCTTGGTGTCACGTTGTGGGGTGACACATCCCATTTCGATGTATGTAGAAGATGTATAATTAATATTACTCAGTCCTGGTTGGTGTAGTTCCTATTAATTGCCAAAACCAGTTATGTGACGGACCCTAGGATTGGTTGAGCTTGTTTCCAAGCTTCCTCAGTTGGCTGAGTGTGATGTGAGCTTCTATCTGGTTTTTGTACCCTCACACCGGGCCTTTCTTCCGATCACATGGGTCTTTCTCAACCAATCCTAGGGTCCGTCATATAACTGTGTTGTTAATATAATCCTCCTGTGTTTCATGGTAATGGCCCGTGATGTGGCGCTACTCGTGATACGTCACTTTCCTCTAGGCTGTCTGACGTCTCTTTCCAATAATTGATACTCCTATTACTGGTAGAAGTGACGTTGCGGTCCTCTGCGAAACGTCATTTCCGCCCTTCATATGCCAAACTTAACCTGCAGTTGCTCAAGTCATGGGTGTTACAAACTGCCATTTGTAACTGTTATTTTATTTGACAAATTGCCCTGCTTCCCTGTGTTATGGAGAAGCCTAATTGCCAGCCTTCTGCCCCATGACTATGGACCCAGTGTGTATGGCGATTTGACTGTATTTGTGGGATCTGAGCGCTGTTTGGATATATTGAGCGCTCAGATCCAAGCCATCTGAATGTGGGGGTTCTGTTCAGTTCAATAGGAGTTATGTATTTTTGTGTCTTTTTGTGTCTTTTGCTAACATGTGGTTAATGGAGTCTGCCTCTATCCCTGGATAATTGGATTACTTTCCCCATTGTCCAGGATAGAGGCCTCTGTAAAACCGGTTTGGGCCAGAAAACCATGCTGCCAGCCAGGCCCCAAAAGACACTTTTGCTAACTTTTGAACCCCTTGTCTGATTTGTGCCATTTTTTAATATGTTGCTCCCCTTAATGGATTGATTCCAAATATGTAATTTTTATGAAGATTGGATGTGTAGTTTGGAAGTTATAGTACATGTATAAAAACTGTATTTTTACTGTTCTGTTTTAATTATGTTATGTGATTATCTGAGGGATGGGAATTTCCCCGAATGTATATTGTTCCGATTGGTTATACTGCTAATTATGTGGGTGTCTCCCTTGCATGGGCAGAATCTCATAAAAGCAGAGTGTGTGCCATTAAACATCAGATCTTCTTGACCCTCAATACGTAGCCTTGTCTCGTTATTGGAGGGAACTGCTATATCACACTGGGGATTGCTATGCTCTGCATACTCCCCTGAGCTTTTAATCACTTAGCTCTTTTAAGAGCTGTTCCTGTTACGCTCTCCTGGAGGAGAGGTCTTCCCCACACGGTCCTGGAGGACAGAAGCTGATCCAGGGTGGAAGGAAGACGGCGAGACTCCAGTTAAGCTACGGCGGTTGTGGAGTCTGCGGTGGTTGTGGTGTCGGCTGCAGTGTTTGGAGTCCTCAGGAAGCGCTAGGAGCATCCATCAACGGAGGGTACTCGGTCGGAGTACAGGGAGCTCCGTTACAATGGGCAAATGCCCAAAGTTCAATATCCCACAGGCATTATATCGCAATTCATCCAAAATAAACCAAGAAAGTATATCAGATTACATATAATGTGTGAGAAGAATCATAATATTGGTGCCAAAAATAATCTGGCTAATTGCTTAAGAGACCATATGTATAGATATATTAAAATTTGTTAATTAAATATTAAAATCACTCTTTTTTGGGGGGAGGAGAGGAACGTTTTTTTAAAACATACTTTTATTCTTAAAATGTTTAGAAGAAATAATCCAGTTCACTGTGTTCCCACATTAGGGCTAAATATCATAGCTAATGAAAAAAATGAACAAATTAACAATTTGAAAATGAGAAGTTAGGAAAACCACCCCGACAGATGTGGCCTCAGTATTCACTGACTTTTATAAAAAGCTATACAACCACTCACCAGGCACACAGGGGGATAGGGACACGGAAGAGGGACAGATTCAGAGCTACCTAAAAGAACTAGGCCTCCCTAAACTGCCACAATAAGCAATAAACACCTTAGCAGCTGAAATAACAGAAGACGAGATAGACCAAGCCATCACAGCTTTTAAGGGGAATAAGGCCCCCGGGCCAGATGGCTTCGATGGCGGGTATTATAAAATGTTCTGTGAAGTCCTCACTCCCTACCTACTCAAACTATTTCAAGAATTAAGGGAAGGGGGAACACCCGATAGAGACATGTTCCTGGCCACCATAGTGTTACTACCTAAACCCGAAAAGGATTCGCTCCTACCAGCGAGCTATAGACCCATATCATTAATCAATCACGACATGAAGATATTAGCAAAACTGCAGGCGACCAGATTGAACCCTTTCCTAACGACACTTGTAGACGCTGACCAAGTTGGCTTTATCCCGGGGAGACAGTTGTTCGAAAACACACGCCGTAACATTGCCCTAATATGGAGACAGGTCACCACACGTACGCCCACACTGATTGTCTCCCTTGATGCCGAAAAAGCCTTCGATAGGGTTAAATGGCCATACCTATTCGCTGTGTTGGAGCACTTTGGGAGTATATCACCCTCATAAGAGCCATGTATAGTAACGTCCGTGCCCAGATACAAGTCGCGGGAGCCCCCCTCGAACCCTTTAGGCTACACAACGGCACGAGACAGGGGTGCCCGTTATCCCCACTCCTATTTGTTCTGTCGCTTGAACCACTGTTACAAACCCTGCGACGACACCCTGGAGTGAGAGGAGTGACTTTAGGAGGACAGGAGTTCCTAGTGTCTGCATACGCAGACGACGTGCTCCTGACACTGACGAGCCCAACGAAATCAATGATCGTTCTAAACGAGATCCTGCAGAACTATGGAGCACTCTCGGGATACGTGGTCAACATGACCGAGTCTAGTGCTCTCCCACTGGGACTGGCGGCGGCGGACACGGCAGCGATCAGAGACAGGCACACTATACATATAGAACACTCATCTCTCAAATACCTAGGGATACATCTGACAGCTGACCCGGACAACCTATTTCAGCATAATTACATCCCCCTGATCAAAACGCTGGTGAAGGATTTAGATGAATGGCTGGACAAAGCCATATCATAGATAGGAAGAATTAATTCTGCTAAAATGAATGTCCTGCCGCGCATGCTCTTCCTGTTTCAGGCACTACCCATACGCGTTAACAAGGCCCAATTGCTCCCTCTCCAGAGGGCAATATGCGCATTCATCTGGCAGAACAAAAGACATAGGATCTCCAGACAGGTTCTATATAGACCCAAACCTAGGGGCGGCCTGGGGCTTCCCTGCCTATACTATTACTATTTAGCAGCCCAATTAACACATGTAGCAATGTGGCACTCACCCCCGGGAGACAGAAAATGGGTTGATATAGAATCGCTCATGGTAGGGGCCAATCTACCACAATTCGCAATGTGGGTACCTGCCCAACAATCCTCAACTCCTTAAGAATCTAGGACTCCGCCTACATAAAACACAAACTAGCTTCCTCACCTTCCCCCCTCATGCCCTATCTACGAAATAGAGCCTTCCCCCCGGGCATGGTCCCCAGGGATTTCAGAAACATAGAACAGACAGGCTTCCAGAGAATATGCCATTTGTATCAGGGCACTGAGTTCATTGGCTTTGAAGGCCTTGCACAGGGGAGGCACTTGACACCAGCTGATTTTTTTTGTTATATCCAACTGATTTCGCGAAACAACCCTATATAAAAAGGGCAGCACTGCAGCAAAAGACATTCTTTGAACGGCACTGCCTGGCGGAAACCGTACCCAAGGGGATGATAAAGGAGCTATACGCCCACCTTTGCTCTGCTAATGGGGACACGGGACAATTGAGGTATACGGACCAATGGGAACGCGACTTGGGAGAGGTTCTCGAGGGCGTAGAATGGCAGGAAATATGGGAGAGGTTCTCAGTGTGCGTGACCCTACAGGAGCAATCCTTTAAAACAATGCTCTGATGGTACACCACCCCTGAGATAGGTGAGATAGGTGCCCAACCTCACAGATCACCTGGTCCCCAGGCCCTCCCTCCCCCCCCACATAGCACTAACAGGTGCTTGCCACCTTTGTTCAACAAATTCAAAATAGGTCCCACCTCCCACTTACTTTCCCCTCTTTCTCTCTCTTTCACTTCTCTCTCTCCCTGTTTTGCTAGTCCAGTCCAGGAGCCAGGACTGGTAGACGTTGTTAGATACCTGACGTAGTAAATAGCTAGTGTACAATACAGGGGACATCTGCTGATACCCCCGAGTAGCGGCAGATGCTCCACCCTTATGCTATGGAAAGCTCATGGTTATGTGAAGTTATCACTGCATACTTAAACGCATGTCTGGTATTCTGGCAATGTCAATCTTATTTCAAAACTCCTTGACGACCGGCCAAATTGTAATTACTTGTGTAGAATATGCATTGTTCAAAGACATGTTACCTTCCCCTTTTCACTAACATGGGATATTATATTGCACTATAACTGACTTTTGCACAAGTCATGTGGCTACTGTTATGTTCGCTGACTCTGTCAAGATGAAAAAAATTAAGAATTTAAAAAAAAAAGAAATATGAAGGAAATATAAAAAAACATAAAAAAACTTAAAAATTTTAAAAAAGGGAAAGGTTATAAAAAATGGCAAAATTCGAAGTCAACATTTAAACCTGCTGGCTGTAACGTGTTCTGGTTAAATATCCACTTAATTTTTGTTTAGCCAAAGACATTCATAATATCTCCTCTCCAATTTCCTAAAATTCCCAAGAACTGCAAACCCCTTTGGTCCCCATGGTGTTTAGTCTTAATATGATGTGATACATTGTGTCCATCAAACTTTTTCTTTATGTTGCAGACATGTTCCTCTATGTGAGTATGTAAGTTACATTTTGTCCACCCCAGATACTTTAGTCTACAAGGACATATCAATAAATAAATCACATTTGTGGAGTGGCATGTACTTTTACATGCTAAGCATGTACCACATCCCCCCCAAAAAAAACTTTTCCTTTGTTGAGGAAAGAGTTTTTTGGTTCTTTATTTATGTGGTTTTGTGTCTCAGACTTGGGGCACCTCTAAATATTATTCTGTTTTTCTTTGGTAATATATGGAAAAGTACAGGATCTTCTTTTAAAATAGACCAGTGTTTATTTCTAATTTTGCTCAACTGGTTACTGCTTTGGCTGTAATTACAATAATAGGTAGGTCGTTGTTAAGTGTTTTCTTCTTTTTTCCGTCTTTCTCCTTTAATAAAATGTCCCTTTGCAAATTTAAAACTGCATTTAATTCTATATCTAGATCTGATTCTTTATATCCTTTTATGGTAAAATCATTCTTTAGTTTTGATGCTTGTTCTGGAAATTTTTCTTTATCTGTACAATTTCTCCTTATTTTGAGAAATTGAGATTTTGGAATTGCTGTGAACCATGGGAAAAAAATGACAGCTTCAGGTCTATATAAAACTATTGACATTCACAGTTTTGAACTGTGTACTAGTTTTAATTTTTCCACCTTCAATAAATACCTCAAAATCCAAAAAAATGACTGAAACGTTGTTAAAATTAACCGTTAGTTTTATACCCCAATCATTGGAGTTAAGATAATTGATAAAAAAAAATAAAAATCATCTATGTAACAGCGATCGGTGACAAGGCTCTCTACCCAGCCATGTCCATGATAAATGTATTTTTTGCTCCCAATCTACCATAAACAGATTGGCATAGTTGGGTGCGACCCTCGTCCCCATCGCCATCCCACAAATCTGGAGATAATAATCCCCACCGAACCAAAAATAATTGTTCATCAGAATCAGGTCTATTCCCTCAACAATAAAATCTACTTGTTCCGATAAACATTTGTCACATTTACTTAAAAACTCCTTTACAGCTGAGCAGCCCCTTTCATGTGTTATTATAGTGTATATGGAGTTGGCATCAGCTGTAACTAAAAAACACTCCTCACTCCATGGTAGATTTTCTAGTACCTGTAAAATGCTGCCTGTATCTTTTAGATAGCTTCGAGTTTGTTGAACCATAGGGTGCAGGCACCTATCAATATATTCTGACAGCCTGCTTGCTTGATACTATGGGTCTACCAGGAGATTTGATTGGGTCTTTATGGATCTTGGGTAAGTACTAAAAAAAAGAGATTTTAGGGAACTTAATATTTAAATACTCAAATTCTTGTTTATATAATATTCCTATTTCATGACCTTTTTGTAAAATTTGGATCAATTTATCCTTAATCATTATTGTGGGGTCTCCTTTTAGCTTTTTATAGGTTGTATTGTCCTCTAATAGCCTCAATGATTCTTTGGTGTATTTCTCAGTAGATACTCTATATCTGCAGGTTTTACCGCTAAATCTTTGTCTTTGTCCAACTTTTTCAAAGCTCTTTGTTCTTCAATTGTTAAGTTACATTGATATTTATTAGGGTCCTTAATTTTACTAATGTCTCTCATCACGAATTTCTCAAAAGTATCCATTTCATTTGATAAATTAAAAAGTTGACTTATTTTTAAATGTTGTATGGGTGTACTCATTATGATTTGTTTGATTTAGACTGTTTATTATTGGATTCTTTCAAAATTATTTTTTCAGGCATAAATTTCTTTTGAACCTATTCAGATCTACATAGGTGTCAAATTTATTTAGACCTTTTGTGGGTGCAAATGTTAAACCTTTCTGTAACATTCTTAATTCAGAAACGCTTAGAACTTTTAAATTAAAAATGCCTGCATATTTTTCAATTTCTTTATAGTTTTTATTGATTTTGTCTGCCAATCTTTTTTCCTTTGTACACAAGCACCATCTCTATTTCCACGTCTTCTATACTTCTCCTCCTTTTGGCCAGGGATCTGTAATAGTGGAGGGCCTTGTGTCTCTCCCTCAATCTCGTGCTCCAAAAAGCCTCTTCTTCTTGTAATTTTGTGAGGATTTCAAATCTATTTGTTAGTGGGATCTCAGGATTTTTTGATGGTCTAGTTGGTATTCTTGTATCATTAGCTTCATCTAATCTTGTTTTTCGTATTCTCATGTCTCTCTGGTTTAACCCTTTTCCCTCTGTTCATAGGGATCCTATTCCTAGGATCTATGGGCCGATTTGACCTTACGCTTATTGGGGAACTTCCTCTCCTCATCTCTGTTCTGTCTCTATTCATTTGTTTCTTCACAAAATATTGATTTCCAGATTTTTCTCTATTTTCTTTTGTTGTAAAGGTTTTATAACGCCCTCTTGATTGAGATCTTCTATCACCGGAAAATTATTTTCTATTTATATATTTGCTTTTATTTTTCTTGAAGGTCTGTACCTCATTTTTCCTGTAGTCAGTTTGATCCCTTATGTACTTTTTCTTTTTAATCTGTATAGTTTGTTTTTCAGTTGTGTCCAGCCATTTTTGTATGTCATCAGTGATTTTTTTGTATTCCTCTGCATCAGTGTGATTGATAAGGAAATTTTGTTCCTTATTTATCTCCTGGTCTATTTTTCCTAGAGTGTGTTTTCTTCTTTTAATTATGAGATTCATCATCCCAAAGGAGAATGAAGCTAACATCTTGTCCCACTCTTGCATAAAAGATCCATCATCCTGGTCAAATGCAGGGCTTTTAAAAAAGGGGTTATGTTCTCTTTTATGTATATTTTCCAGGATAGCAACTTCCCATTAAATTTTAATTCCTCTGCTTAACAATTTTTCAGATTTTTTTGACAATCATAAACATTTTTTTCTTCCATTAAATCAATCTGATTAAAAACCCTTTCTGCAATGGTGAAGAATTCATTACTACTAGTGCAAACTTCTCTTCTATTTTCAAAAAGTGACATAGTGAGAGTAGCAGCTGTGAACACAATTGAGGTATTTAGTGTAAAGAATACAACCAGGTGTTCCTCTAAACGAGGGATACCCCCTCCCCACACTTCAACAACTATATCCAAAAAGGGATATATAGGTTATCAACCTATATGTGAAGTGGAGCGCTTATGAGGAAAAATAGACATGCATACCTCTCTTTGTATATTGAAGCAGGAGGTA